AACACATCCCAACTAAAAGATATTCTCTCTCCAAAAGTGTCTTCTTATGTTTTCCTAAGACACTCTCTCTCCAAAAATATTCACTATCTCCTCTCTTTACTCAAATTTTATTAATTTTATATTTCAATACACTCCATTATTTTAACCAAAAACACTCTCTTTCTTATTTTTACTCAAATTTTAATAATTTTATATTTAAAAACACTTACAAAATTTTACCATTGATGATGCTCTGACCAACTTGGGACACCTAGTCTCGCCACTGTTAAAGCTGAAGCCCATTAGCCCAATCAGGCCCAGATTAGTCAAAGAAGGAAACGCATGGTTTTGTTTTACAAACAACCATTTCTCACAAATTGCATCTGTGCTTCAAAGTTGTAAACATGGAACTGCTTGCTTTCTTTGTTTTCTCTGTTCTTCAACAAACAAGATTACAAAATCATTTCTCAGAAATTGCATCTGTGCTTCAAAATTGTAAATAATGAACTTATTGTTGGTCCCAAACACAGCTTTCAGTGAATAAGAACACAAGATTTCTTTTGCAGATAAAACCTCTGCTTTATTTTGTTGTCTGCTTTTCTTTATATAGAAAAATTACAAGAGAGTGGAACCATTGATTCATTAGTACAAGGAAATTGGGAAAAGTGAAAAAGTAGTTTCCTAATTAAATACAAAGGATCACTATCGAACAACTGGTAATAAGAGAAACTCAAAGCACGTACCTTTTTCTTTGGATAAAAACTCAAAGCTCGATCAATTAAAATACTTTTCGTTTTGGGTTCTCTGATCCGGTTCCAAGTCCTCGTACCGACTTGATTGTCTTGCTACGTTGAGTCCCATTCACTGCTGGTATCATATTAACAAGTCTACATGATTAACCGTATGTGTCCTTACTAGTCATATTCGTGGTCACTTCCTCTGGGTTCTTGGCAACTTCAAAAAATATTAGTCTACCATCTACAATCTGAAAACCAGAGAAACAAACAAAGAACCATATGCCAGTTGAGTTTACATTTCTCAAGAATCTCAACAACGTTTATAGTCAGGACAAAATAGCTTCAGACAACGTTTACTTGACATTTCAGGCCATTAAACAACAAAGCCATTGGAGAAATTCAATCGGATTTCCTGACCTTCCCATCTAAGCTTTTTAATGCATTTCGTGCATCATCCTCAGACTCGAAAGTGACAAAGCCGAACCCTTTTGGTCTCTGGGTCTCTAACAAGCCGAGCTAAACAACCCACACACAACACAAACCAGTTCAGGAACAACAACAAGAAACATAATTGAGCCTTAAGCGTTTTCGTGTGTACCTTCTTTAATTTGACCAAAAGGAGAGAACAATTGCCTCAGAGATCGATCTGTGGTGTAAGCAGATAACCCTGTAATAGAGACAAATCACAATATGTAAAAAGAGGGAAGAAATCTAATCAGAGATCATAAGAAACCATTATCTTACTGCTTACAAAGAGTTGAGCTGAGAATTTCTTAGCCATCTTTAACAATATCACAAACTGATTCGGAAAAGGATCAAGAACGATTGCGAAACGTTTCTAGGTTAAGCACTTCAGCGAACGATGTCGTTTTCTCAGAGAAAATGAAGATTGCGAGCAAGACGACGACGACGTTTAAATGTAGCGAGAAACTAAAATCAAAACTAATTGCAGGGAAGATATTGAGCAATTTTGCAAAAAGATTTTTGCTTTGATTCATTTCGTGGAGAGATTAGATCTAATTTGATTACATCGAAATT